CCGCACGGGAGGCGGCGTCGGTCCAGTCGGAAGGGGCGAACCCGGTCAGGAGACCCACCAGGAAGCACACGCACGAATGCAGCATCGCACGCCGCAGCGACAGCGGCCGCTGCTTCGTCGCCCGTGCGTGCTGCTTGCTGTTGCTCATGTGCTTGGAGTTGGAGTTGGACGACGCCGGAGGAGCCGCTGAAGCACGATGATGAGAATGCTTGGGCGAGGCCATGGCGCTACCTAGCTCGGCCTGCCTGCCTCCGCTCAGCTAGCTAGGCAGCTAGTGCGGTCGCACGCACTCAGCTCTACCGTGGGACTGTGGGAGCGGGAGCGGGAGCGAACAATGCAAGTTAAGCGGTGACTGATAGATAGATACTAACCCTCTGCTACGAGTACATGCTGGTGGGGAAAACCTAATCTCTCGTAACTAAAAAGACTAAAGAGTAGATATAGTTTTGGTGCGACATTCTCACGTGAGGTCCGTCGTCTTGCCTGCTGTGTTCTCGTAGCCTCGTTCCGACACACATCCCTTGCGACAACATTGAAAAGGAAAGCGCTCCCGTGATTCAGCCTTGATCCCGCGATGCATCCGCCCACCTCCGCATTGGATCGCCCCAGTCGTCGCCCTCACATAGCTGCCCGCGCCCGCCCGCAGGTGGGCGCGCCGACGCCGCCCGCGCCCGCCCCCACCCTACGCCCACGTCCGCTCGCAGGTGGCCGCGCCCGCCCTCTCCGGTTCGCCTCTGCGACGAGCTCCGACCCCAGGCACCCCGCGCTCCATCCCTCCCTGCGCGGCTGCACTGGCCCGCCACAGGAGGTCGTCCGGTCGTTGTCCGGCTACTCCCTCCCTGCAGCGCGCCCCGCGGCGTGGCTCCTCCCTACCCGCAATGGCGCAGCATCCTCCATCCCCGTGGTGCGCCCCATCCGCTTCTGCCCCGTCCACCTCGTCGGAAGCCGGCGACCACGGATCTACGGCGCGAGGTCAAGCTTCTCTCGGATCTGGGTCGCTGGAGCGTCACCACCAGGTACCTGAATCCCCTCAGCGCTCTGTCCTCCCCCCCCCCCTATGCCTCCATCTCCATCTTCCCTGGATGTTTTGCTACTGAACCTGAGGGTCAACCATAGGAAACCGAGGCTGCAAATTTCTGATTTCGTCTATATTCTATATACCTCGTAGCCAGCTTGCAACACTCATTATATGACTAGCAAAGTAGCAGCATACTGCTTTTGTCAAAGGTGTTGTTTAATGAATGAGAAGCTCATCCAAGTACCGCTCCTTAAAAAGTGTCGGCATTTCTATCTGAAATGTGGAAATTTTGTATATTGTGCAATTGAAACATCCTATGACTTTTTCAAATATATGACTCATGCTTGGACTGAATAAAGCACCTGATGAGGGTAGAAGTTGTTCCTGAAGCTTTGCTCGGGTATTTATGATCTTGTCTGTTACAAAGGAGTTTGTGATTATTTTTTCTGGCACGACGCCGCATCCCGTCGAGCAAAACTAGAGGAAGCACATCCTGCTCGCGGAAGAGGAAGCAACAAGAGCTAGAGGAAGCAGGCGGAGGAGGCCTCGCACATCCTGCACGCCCTCGCGATCTGCAACTGCTCCGAGGACTCCGTCGCGGTGGACCCAAGCTTCTTCAATGCCTCCTACACCATCGCTCGCTGCTTCCACCAGGTGTGCCAACCCTTTCCTGTTACCATTTATTTTGTTACTTGTCTCCTTCAATAACATTGCCATGCCTTATAGTTTTTACACTCTACACAAGCAAAATTGCCTTACTGATATGAAACATTAGACATAAGTAATTGACAAATTATACAGCTAAAAATATTGCTGTCTCCACCAAGGATGCTTTCACCAAGTACTCCTTGACGTATAAGAAATAGCAGTATAGCACAACCACCATGCAACGAACTTGACAGGAAAGACCCTACGCTATCATTTCTTTGCAATAGTCGGCCTCAACAATCACGAAGCAGAAGCCTAATGTCAGTGTTTAAATAACAGGAAAGTACATGGATACTAAAAGGAAAACTATTATTCCTTATCTGGTGCCTTTGATAATTTAAAAGGTTATTTACAACCAATAAGTTTAGCAATCAGAACATCATACATACTCTTCTATCAAAAAGGAACAAGAGTATTTCGAGATGGACCTGCTATCCAAAGCAAATCTCAACTAAATGCATAGACACAGTTGCATCCAGAAAAAGATAAAGAGAATAGGTTAGTGAGTTATAGCTATTAGGATGAAGAGCGTAGGTGATTATACGTGTTTTTTAGCAGAATCTACTACCAGCTCTCAGATATTTTTATATGAAATAACCTAATCAAGGTGATATGGTTGCAACTTTGCTAGTCTAGACTAAATGCTTAGGCACACAGTTGCATCCTGATAAAAGGCCAAGAGAACTCACCTAAACAAGCAATTAGCTCAGCAGGGCATCTAGACAGACCCATGCTACTTCACGAATCACACATTGGACACAAAGCTCATGACAATGTGTCAATATTACACAGGCTGACATGCACTTTATGCTTTTCACACTTGCCATGTGGCAAGGGAAAGTGGATAGAAAAGACGTGTATAAATAAGTTTGTGAAGAGGAATATACTGTATTATGTGTAGGAGAGAGGTCAATAGCATTAACGGGTCTCTCTGTGACATGGAAAATACACGTCTTCATCAGGGTTAGTGTTCTTGCTTCCCATAGCTAGGCATGGAAAGTTGTGATCTCTGTTCGAGGCCAACCAGAGGCTGACCGGAGCTATGCAATAGTCATGAGTGGATAAATATTTGAATCTGAATTTTATTTGGTTTCTTGTTTTTTGCCAACATGAAAGTTTAGGATTATGAAATGTTTAGTCTACTGAGTTATTATTGGTAACCATGTGAAATTTATTAAGGGCTACTCAAGCAAAGTATACATATGATTCAAGTTCTGCTGGTCCACTTGTGTGCTAATTTTCTTGATTTCCTTCTTAGCTAGAAGCTATAGATTTTCAACCCCAATCTGTGCTGGTTTTGGATATAAACATATAGGCTTACAGTCAATTTGCAATATAGCACATGTTGATTTTGTTTCAAAACTGAACACGTATGAAGCAATGCAGTATTATCAAGTATGTGGCTTCAATTCAGTTACAATGTCGAGTTAAAAAAAAATCAGTTACAATGTTGAATGTGCAGAATTGAACATTCTCTATTTTTCTCATCTGTGTCCATGAAACTTCAGACCGTCATTATTTTCTTAGTGTTGTGTTGTTTATCTCCTGGCCATCTTGCATTCTGAATTTTCAAGTTTCAGTTTTAAATCTTTTATCTAATTTTTAGTTTTAAACAATGTAATATGTGCAATCTGAGTTTTGCGGTGCTCATACATTCTCTATTCTCTAATATATCTAATTTTTAGTTTTAAACAATATAATATATGCAATTTGGGTTAGGTATCGTTGCTTGCTATAATTTTATATGTGGAGCAATGGTTGCATTTTTGCAAAGATTTTGACGAGTAGGTCTTTATTCCTTGAAAAAAAAATCAATGACTGTTCTCTTTGTCACGCCATTGATAGATACTATTTTTGCACGTATGATGTTACTATTCATGAAAATGTTAGCATGTTCATCTATGCAAAGAGAGAAATCAAAGAGGTACCTTTTTAGAGAACTTCCATGCACATTCTTCGATGCTCAAGCTCTTTGCATTTTCAGTTTGCATTGCTGTAATTTGTGTTAATTTGAGCACTTGACTTTGGACAAGTTGGTCGAAGGGCAGCTTATCATTGTCAGGTCAGCACATCTTACATTGCAATATATGTTTAATTAGCTACTGAATACCAAAGAATGAGGATCCATGGACAATTTTTCTTTTAATTATTTGTATAAAATATACTTTGTCATCCAATCACAAAAACTTATCATTGGGTTGTTTGGAGCTATATTAACTGACCCAGAACTGCTAAGTTCATTTAACAGAGAAGGGTATCTAATGTATTAAAAATATTTGGACACATCACTCATAAAATATCACTCTTCAAGTATGTCAAACATGCCTAATATATTATATTAGTTTTTTATGTTGATTGTACTTTTAATCAGTGAAACCATATAACTAATCTTGGGTGTTGGCTTTCTCCTTTCAGTTTCCATTCTTTCTATTTGCTCTTATTAGGAATATACCAACAATACTATAAATGCATACCTTGATGATTGCAAACCATCAATAAGAATTTTAGCCATGCATAAAATTCAATTCGTAATATTGGCATTCTGAACATCACGCTCGTATTATCGTTTTTTAACAATACAACACGTTCATGCTTAAATTATTAGGGCATTATTTGAAAAGGTCTATATAGTAGAGTTGGTGAACCCACGACGCCGTGCTCTTCGTGACTGTGTTAATTTTATGAACTTTGCTTTTTAGATTAAAAATCACTTCAACGTTGGTATTTAATTTCACAGTATTATTATCTTATCATGTGATCTATACGTTGTTAGTACAAAAGTTTAGTTATGCCATATCAATACACGAGCATGCTACCTATAATAATAATAATAAGCTAAGGGGGAAATGCATGCATGTGAGACGATGCCGACTATGACAACTATGACAATGCTGTCCATCGAATCATAGACGATAGATGGTCATGCAGCTGCAGCTGCTAACAACTAAGTGAACAAACAGACAATTAAATTAAACAGTAATAACACGTACCGTAGTAGTGGGCGCTTAATTAGCGCATGCATAGTGCCTGATGAAAAAGAAAAGAAAAAAGGAAAAGGAGCATGTGTGTGTCTATATATATATATATATATATATATATATATATATATATATATATATATATATATATATATATATATATATATATATATATATATATATATATATATATATAGGGAAAGTATATTCAGTAGCCAGCTACAGAATAAGTTATTTTGTAGCCACCTTCATTTACGATAATTTTATATACTAATTTACGATAGTTGTGTTGCTATAACACACGAGGATATTTACAGTAATGTTATAGTAAATCACATAGTAAGGAGTTACTATAATCTCGTGAATTAGTATAGTAATTATCGTAACTCAAAGTGGCCACAGAATAAGTTATTTTATAGCCAGCTGCAGAACAGAAGTTCTATAGTTCTATATATATATATATATATATATATATATAGCTTCTGGAATCCACGTTAGGAAAACACTCAGATTACTGTT